AGTGCTCTTTTGGGTGACTGTTAAAATCTGAGGCCTTTCGGAATTCTCCCACCCCACACCCACATCCAATTTATGGGGTTTTACTTTTACATTTCTGAAGTTATTATTATTATTATTATTATTATATTATTTATTTATTTATTTATTTTTAGTTTTAATTTTAAATCAATCTTTAAGAGTTCTGTTCGACTGGGATCCAAAGTTATTTTTAAATGTTCTTTTATTATTTATTCATTTTTCTTTTCTAGTATTGAGTTCGATAAAATATTTTTTTATAAAAAGGCTTTCAGTATTTCATTTCTTAGTATTCAAAAATAATATTAATAAATTTTATTATTATAAAATTCGAGATATTATCAACATTTCGTCCAAAGTAGCGTAGACCTAGTACAGAAGCAGACGAATTTTCTGTATTCAGTGCTGCCACCTATAAATTTTTTGACTTTCATACGAACCCCGTTCGTGAGTGTGTGACGTCAAATTGTAAACACGAGTAAATTTCCTGGGACGCAATGTTAAAGCCGGTAGTGGAGGTGCTACGTTCCAGAAAATTTTATCATTGCTTATTTTTCTTCGTGGATGACTTTTCCTAGGTTTTGGAAAAAGAAATTATGCATATTTTATAATATATAGGTAGTATGATTATAAAATAACACTGTTTTTATGCATGTTTGTGTATTAGGGTTAACTAAGTTTCTGAACAGGAAGCACCCTGAGAAACCACGTGGATGAGCAGTGTTTAACTACTACGATTTGTTTATTTCCTTTATCTGACAAGCAGTTTGGAGTTATTGTATAAATATTTATAATTTGAATTTGAAATGTTTCTTTGCCAGTGGAATATTGAACATCTTTAGTGTAAACATATGGTTATCAAAGGTCAGTAGTGCGACCGAGTTGCTCTTTTAAAGTTTTAAGGTCACTGCATGTATATACGAATAATTTCTCCACAAATCGTTTAGTATTTATAAAGCTGGACTAATATAGGGTGTAGAATAGTGAATTTTTTAGGATTCAGGCTAACATATATGAGAAATCTCTTTTACAGAATGTAATTCGTAGATTTATTATCCCTAGTTATCGTGTATTTTATTATGGCGTAAGAAGTCACTTAAGTGATCTAAAGTAAAGATGTGTTCGTATTTTTCTTCTCTTACAGATATTCTATTTATTTATTATGTTTAATTTTACTTAAAACGGCAATAATGTAGTCATTTAATGCTTAAATATTTCATATTATCAATATAAAATTTGGAAAATTTCATTTATTAATATAATGGTTAGTGCATATCTGTATAAATATCAACAGGTTAATCTTTCTACATAGAAAGAAAAAACTCAGTCACAAGAATAAAATTAAAATTTGATCGTGTGTTTTGTACTATAATGTGATTAACAACTGTTCAGTAAGCGTAAAATCTTAGTAGAATGTGAGTGCAAAAGTGCTGAATTTTATTAGAATAATTAATGAATTTTAAATTTATGTACATTATAGTCCAGATCATAAATGGGCTGAACACTAACCATTTTCTGTGTGATTTTTTTTTAAATTGCAAAATAAAGTTTCTTTAGTCCTGTAAGCTCATCTATAGCATTATAAAAATACACATATGAAGGGAATTTTAAGAATAATATAATTCAGAGTAATTTTAATGATTTTTCAACTCTCTGTACCTGAAAAGAAAGAAAATATGAAACAATCAGAAATGTAAACCGTGCATTGTATAATATTTTGTAGAACTAAACAATTTTAATAAAATCTGTGACAGTTTTGTGCAACTGGAAAATGTGATTTTTATGGAGTTGAAAATGCACGATTTAAGATGTCTTTATTAGAGAAATAATTAGAGATTTCCTATGTAACTTAATATGAGTTTCGTTTGATGTAATGGGTACAAGTAGTAGCAAAAACTTAAAAACTGAATGTGTGTGCATGTATTAGAATTGATCCCATATGCAGTATATTCATATCAAAACTGGAGAAATTGAAGAAAACTATAATTGTTTTTTAACATGAAAGAAACATATTTTTATAGAAAAATTTGCTATATATTTCTATTTTTGAACATGTATATTTATTTGGAAATTACTTTTTATTTTATTATCAGACTAGTATAATGTATTTCCCTCTAACAAAACATCCTGAAAAATTATGCCCATCATGTCAGCATATTATTAAAGCTTTGTGTTGAACCTTCCATTAGCAGACACTGGACCAAGCCATTTGATTGTTATCAAGTAGTGCCAGTTACAGTGAGTGTACCAATTATTCATTCAAGAGTGGTTTCACAAAAGAAACTTGTTTTGGCATGCTAATTCTATTGAAACTTCTTCAAAAGGCAATAACTAATAAAAAAAATCTTTTACCAAATAAGAGTGCCCCCCCCCAAAAAAAAAACAGAAACTGAAAATTGGGGGGAGGGAGGTAGAGTAGACTTTAAGGTACCCCTTGTATTATGATGAAGTTGTTTGATTTATCGCCAAGTTGTTGTTTCATTTATGGTAGTCTGAGTAGTTGAATGGTATGGAAACCCTATTGTGATGTAATCGGGCACATGATTCTGGGAAATTTTGAATCATGGGATGTTTAGTAAGCATTTTTGTGGTGTGTGTTAAAACCATTAGATGGGTTTGTAGGAAGAAAGGTTCAGATGGTCACTATGTGAAGCGTTCGATCAGAAAGAGTACCTGGTTTGAAAAACGTCATTTGAGTATGTTTTGATATTTTGATTTTTACGTGGCTCTGGGTGTACGAAACGAACTCGAAAATCATGGTAAGTGAATAATTGTTTTTCCTTTTTTATGTTATTTTATTGTTTGATTTAAAATGTATTTTTTGTTTGCCTATATTGTAGACTTTGGTGCTCCTTTGACTTTTTAGGTGAAAATATATTGATGTATACATGGACAAAGTAAAGGGGAGTGCGCAATGCAAGTTTGTGCAATTCTGGGATTTTTTTTTTAAGTGAAAATAGGTCGACGTGTACATGGATAAAGTCAAAGGAGTGCGCAATGCCACTTTTGTGCAATTCGGGGGGAGGGGGGTAAGTGAAAATAAGTCGATGTGTACAGAGTGTATAGAGTGTGTATAGAGTTTGCAAAAATCGCCGCTTCGCAAGCCAAAATAACTAGTCAAAGAATTGCACAAAATCGGTATCCATGTACCGCCAAGTTTCGCCAAGGGGTACCCTAAACTATACTTTTACCAAATTGGGGATTTAATGGTGCATAAAAAGTATTTGTACATTCAAACAAATGCAAAATTTTGGTAGCATTCTAATTGGTATAGTCAGTTTCTTTTTGTTGATAACTGATGTAATTTATCTTGTAGGTAAAAAATGACCAGGTGTAACTTTATATGTGATAAGAAATATGAAATGTCATAAAATTTTAATATGGGCTGTAGAGGTAAAGGAATGAGTATTTCAAAAAAGCTAATTATAATAAATCATACACTTAAATTTCAGTTATAGTCGACAGACCATGTTAAACTGTGCAGTCGATTATTCAAAAGTTTATGACTTGTAGAATAGTGCTCGTTCAGGACGACCATATCTACTTACATCCATTGACAAGCGATTTCTGGCACGTTCCTTGAAGAAAGATCTGAAAGTAAGTATTCCTAAGCTTACAGCTGAATTTAGAAACATGGGAAGAGCAGTATCCATAAGTACAATTTGAAATACATGCAGAAAACAAAGTTTCCATGGCTGTGTTGAGAGATGAAACTTTTTTTTGAGAACAGCCGGAAGTTAAAATTACCCTTCCCCAAAAAATATGTGAATGAAAGCCCAGAGTTCTGGAAGAACATTATTTTTTTAGATAAAAGTAAATTCAATATTTTTGGATCCGACGAGAGCCGAATGGTGTGGAGGAAACAAAATGCAGAAATGTGTCCAAGGAGTTTACTAAGAGTGAAACATTGAGGTAGAGGCATGTTGATTTAGGGTTGTATATGTGATCCCAGGGTCGTTAATTTAGTCATCATTAATGGCATTATGAACCATCTGCTATACATTGATATTTTGAAAAATACAGTCTGCTGTGTAAAAATGCATTTGGACAATGAATATGTTTTCATGCATAAAAATGACCCCAAGCATACAGCCCTAAATACATGGTCCTGGATATTATATAGCACCCCAAAGTTTATGAAATTTCCTCCATAGTCATCCGACCTTAATCACATTGAGAATTTATGGGAAATTCTTGATGAAACGTTAGATCTAGGCACATTTCTAATAAAAATGACTTGATAACTAACTGCTGTATTAAATAAGAATGGGAGTCCATAGGAGAAACTTCGATCGAATTAGTGTCAAAGAGACTGGAAACCATTATTTACTTTAAGATAATATCCTATGAGGTTATAATTTAAATATGTTTATGAAAATATTCAATATTATGTATAATGTACAAATAACCTTTTTTACACAGCAAGATAATGGATAGTTTTGATTTTGTAAATGGTTTTTTAAAACATGCATTTATTTTCATGTAAATTTTATATGTAAATATTAAAGTATATTTTAATATACACATTTAATTACTTATTGTTGAATTTATGCTTACAGTTATTATCAGGGAGGCATTTTTAGATCATAATACCTATTGTATGAATAAAAAAAAGAAAAAACTTTTCTGCACTCACTGTAAAAAACACACCTCATTATTATTCGCTTTAGCGATTTTGTAGTTGCAGTTCTTCCATTGCTGGCAAATTCCACTAGTATTTACTTATTTTGTCTGCTATTTGTATATTTTGTTGCCTTTCTTATGAAATGACTTCAGTGTATCAGTCTCGTATATGAAAAGGCCAGCCAATCTGCAAACTACTTTTCTCAAATGCAAGGATATCACTGATATCTTTTATTTGGGCTAATACAGTATTTAATTATTTATGCAATTATTTTATCCATCCTTTTTTTTTCTTTGTGTGTGTGTGTGTGTGTGTATGTGTAGTGAAGATGAACTTACTTAAGACTTTTTCCCTCTCCTAGGATTTTATAATGGGGCATGTAAATGATTCCAGCATGAGCAGTGAAAATTTGATACCAGAATTAGGCTATGCCAATTTTGTAAATGTAAGTATGAAACTGGAATGAGATAAAAAATTTAAATGTCTTAGATTTAAATTTTAAAAGATTAATTTACATTTGTGATTATTTGTATGTTGTTTTCTTTCAAAAACAATATTATTTCAAATATATAGTTAAAAATTAACTGTAATATTAAAGTGAAAGTACACACAATCACAAAAGTCTCTATGCACCCACTAAAACTGAACACTATTTCACTGAACACTATTTGAATTTATACTGTTCATTATTATATTAACTATCATACTATTCATGTAAAAAATATAGCTTAAATAAAGTAAATATGAAAGTTATTCACAGATTTGTTGAAATCAGCATGTCTTCATTTTTATTATTCTGAGTTTAGTCCTCTTTGCCGTCCTCTTTTTTTAGCATTGTCTCTCCTGCCCTCGAGTGACCTCTTAAATGGTACACTTCTTGGCCAAGGGGATTCAAGACCTTAGGTCAACAGAGTTTTACTTTTGATATGACCAAGTAAGAGCAAGCTCCTTCCGCAATTGCCTCTTACCTAAATTTGCATGTTATTGCCCAAGGCCAAGGATTGCAATTTTCAGAGTGGCCATGGTTAATAACCATTCACCTCCACATCAGAAGAGTAATGAATGACTGGAATTAAGAAAATGCATAAAAGGAGGAAAATGAAAGGGGGAGCCAACATTGCTTGGGAGAGAGAAGGAAAATGGATATTATTATTTTAATAATAATAAGATGAATAAACAAAAAAAGCTTATAAAGTAGCAAAAGAGGAAAATAGGATCTTTGCAACGTGGCTCACCAATCATAAATAGTCTAGGATAGTGAAGGCCTGATTTCACAACTGGTAAAAAGAACAGGAGTTTAACATTCCCTCAGTTTGAATAATTTTGCAGTTAAATTCCTGATGTGTTAATTTCAAATTGCCAACAACTCTTTTCAGGTAATATTTGTTGTGACTTATCTCACTTGTCTGATAGTAGCATCAGCACAAGCCCACGAAATTTTTTGTGGCAAGGAGTGCAAGATAGTGCTTGTCATTGGCAAGAACATTGAGTGCTTTACAGTATGATTTTGCTCAGTTGCACCCTCAATTTTGATGGAAAGCACCCAGGGGGATGGGTCCGAGGGTCTCCTACCCAAGAGAACTTTCAGCTCGCCACATATTTAGTGCCTCCATGCTACACAGACACTATACTTTTACAAACATTCATATTTTCTCCGGGACTCAAATCCGGGCCTTTCGGTATGGCAGTAAGTGTCACTAACCACTATCCTAGTTAGGCTGCAAGTTATATTTAAAAGCTTTGACACCTGACACCCAAAGTTAAGTCCTCTTGGGGGCAGAAATTCATTCTGCATTCTATTTCTTCAGACACTAAATATACTTCAGATACTTAAGGAGATCCTAAACAGAAAAAGCATAAAGCATTATCTGGTTTGATTACTAAATTGTGCAATTTTTTAATTTCACTACTAGCACAACAATTTTTTGGGAGGCATTATAAGTTAAAAACTTAGTAGATTTTCCTCTTCTTAAGTTGAATCGTTAATGTTTCAATAAAGGTAAACATTAAATCAATAGCACTTTCTAGATGAATGGCTTTAGTTGCAAAACAAATAAATATATGTGCATAAATTTTTTTGAAAAACCACATTTCACTGATCTGGTAGAGAAAGGACCAGAAAAGTCCCTTCCAATTATATTAAAATTGAAATTTTTAATACTCTTTCACTGAGTAAATCATTCATAGCTTGATTTAACATTACTGATTTCACCTTGAAACTGAACAAGTGTGTATATTTTCTTACAAAAGCTTCTGCAATGTAAGTTCCAAAATTTTTATCTCATGATATAATAAGGATTGAGGACCTACATGTAGGTATTTAAAAGGATAGTAATAAATTGTTAACTCTGTTATTTTATGTTTAGAAGGCAAAATAATGTGAAAATTTTCTCATAAGGAAAATTACTATTTCTTAACATGCGTTCTCCTCTAAGTAATCCAATTTTATGAATTTGGGTAGCAGCCATCTTGAAATTATGCCTTGCTGGCCAGTTGCCAATTTTTGCCAAGGGGCACCCTGAAATATTTTTTTACCGAGTACAGTTATTAATAATCTCGTACCGCCCTGACAGTATATTGGTTAGGGGAGCCTTTTGCAGTACCTAAGGGCTTGGGTTCGAATTCCATAGAAGGCATGGTTGTGACTGTCTGTCGCTACATAGGAGGCAACGGTTGCCACTTTTTAGGTTCTTCCACAATAAAATGGCCACCACTTCTGGTCTTAGGAGTGGCCACTGCTGAGTAGGGAAATGTCCACCATTGGATTAAAAAAAAAAAAAAATTAACAATCCTACAGTGTCTTGTTCCTAGCATACTACCACTTACCACAAACTTAAGTTCTAAGTTAGTATTAGATAGATAAATTTGTCCTGGTTTTAAAATCTCGTAGAAATTTTCATCTCCTAACAGTAAAACAGTAGGACCTAATATTAAAGTCTATATCTGCTAACTTAAGGTTATTTATTTGGAAAACGAAATATCATGAGTCAGTTCTTTTATTCTTGAAACAACTACAAATTCTACATTTAATTTAAAATTATTCAACTCTCTGGCAATTGTAGCAGGTGACAACATATTCAAACCTGACACTGCAATATTTTATTTTTTTCTCATAAATTATGTTTATTTGCGCATCTCTTACTCAAAGAATTAGAATTAGTAGCAAGTTTAAGGAGATCCTAAACAGAAAATTTATTTCCCTTAGCATCGTTTAAAATACAAACAAGTGCTATGCAATACTGTCTTCAAAAATTTTTTAACTTGTAACCTCAAAATACTTTTGATTTTCTTGTTTATTTGCTGTGGCAGTAAAAGTCTGCAGCTGTAGGGAAAAGAATGCTGGCATAAGAAGAGTTACATTTATACTCTGTACACATTTTTTTTTTTATTCACTCTGAAAATGCAAGGTTACGTGGTGCCTATGCTTGCAAAGACTATGCAAGCATTTTGATTTACAAATTGGCATTTGGTGTTTTCCTAGGCAATTGAAACAATAATTATTAGTTTTTACTCACTCATTATGATCATTAACAGACAATCATTTGTAACAGGGCATTTATGCAAGAGGTGATTAGCAATATTTGAAAAATATGCTTTAAACTTTTGACATCTGACAAGAATACATTTGATATTTTTTGCCCAAGATGGTCTTTTAGTTGCTTGAATTTTCTGTCCATTTTTTGCCACAAAATATGTACCATAAATCAACTTCCATAGCAAACTCAATGGGTCTAAATTATTTGTCATGGTGTCATACAGAAATGGGTGAAGCAATATCTTCTTCCAGAATGTGAAGCAGTTTATCTGTTATAACTAGTTCATTTACATTTTATAAGTTTGACTCTATTCTTAGTTTTAAATAATGGTCCCAACTTGTTACCAAATGAGACACAAATTTTATATACGTTTCATTAAGTTGCGAATTTCTTCTTCTAAAATGATCAAGGCATAATTGAGGAATTGGCTCAAATTCTTGCAATACAATAGATTTAACTGTTTCATGCTTATTCAGTTTATCATCCATAATATAAGTCAGCGAATCTCAACCAGTGGTATGCAAGAGATAAATACGTGTTACACAAAGTATTTGTAAATATTAAATTCAAAAATCTCATAAAGAAAAAGAACAATTGATAGAGATTTTCTGTGATCAAACTCTAACTGAAGATTTCAAAAATAACACACCTGTTAACTTTTGGCTGAACTGAAAAAAAGAATTTAAAGGAGTTTCAAATAAAGTTGTTACATTTTTATTGCCTCTTTTCACAAACTATTTGTGTGAACAAGTATTTTCTTTTACGTTTTATTTGAAAAAGAAATACAGAACAAAATTTAAATTGGATCCTTTAAATTTATGGTTAAATTTAAGTGAAATAAGACCAAACATAAAGAAATTCATCTCTCTTAAACAGGCCCAAATTTCACACTAAATTGTAGAATTAAAGTATTGTAACTTAAATTTGATAATTAAAATGGTAACCAATTTTAATCTAATATTTTTTTATGTATGCACATTTAATATAGCACATTTAATAATATTTTTTAGTGGTTAAAATCATAATGATGTGATTTCTTTTTTTATATTTAGGAAACTGGCATCATTAAGGAAATTGAACACTTGAGTGAAACATTTGCAAATGATTTTGAAGACCCAATTCAATATAGTCCTGATGATATTGGTCATTTTGATGATGTAAGCAGTGTCATTTTCATATTCCATAAGAAGATTGGGTATTTACGGAAAATCCCATCGACCACGAGAGACGGCGCCAATCGCACCAAATCAAAAAAAAAAAAAAAAAAAAAAAAAAAATTCTAAATACAAGAAAAAAACATTTTATTCTTATTTTTCTTTCAAATTTATTATATTATCATTTATTTATATTTAATTTTTCATTAAAAAATTCCATTACTTTTTATTAAGAAAATATACACTGAAGTGACAAAAGTCATGGGATACCTCTTAATATTTTGTCGGTCCTCCTTTTGCTCAGCGAAGTGCAGCAACTCGACGTGGCATGGACTCAACAAGTCGTTGGAAGTCCCCTGCAGGAGTATTGAGCCATGCTGCCTCTATAGACGTCCATAATTGTGAAAGTGTTTGACGGTGCAGGGTTTTGGGCACGAACTGACCTCTCGATGATGTCCCATAAATGTTTAATGGGATTCATGTTGGGCGATCTAGGTGGCCAGATCATTCGCTGGAATCGTCCAGAATGTTCTTCTAACCAATCGTGAACAATTGTGGCCCGGTGACATGGCGCATTGTCATCCATAAAAATCCCATCGTTGTTTGAGTACATAAAGTCCATGAATGGCTGTAAGTGATCTCCAAGTAGCTGAAGGTATCCATTTCCAGTCAATGATCAGTTCAGTTACACCAGAGGATCAAATGCCATGTAAAAACAGCCCAGACCATTATGGAACCACCACCAGCTTGAACAGTGCCTTGTTGACAACTTGGGTCCATGGTTTCGTGGGGTCTGCGCCACACTCGAACCCTACCATCAGCTATTACCAACTGAAATCATGACTCATCTGACCAAGCCACGGTTTTCCATTTGTTTAGGGACCAACCGATATGCTCACGAGCCCACGAGAGTCGCTGCAGGCGATGTCGTGCTGTCAGTAAAGGCACTGGAGTCGGTCTTCTGCTGGCATTGCCCAAGGAAGACAAATTTCGCCGCACTGCCCTATCGGACATGTCCCTCGTACGTCCCACATTGATTTCTGCGGGTATTTGACGCAGAAATCAATGTGGAATCAATGATGTTGCTTGTCTGTGAACATTGACAACTTTACGCAGACGTCGCTGGTCTCGGTCGTTAAGTGCAGGTGGTCGGCCACTGCGCTGTCCATGGTGGGATGTTATGCCTGAAATTAGATACTCTCGGCACACTCTTCACACTGTGGATCTCGGAATGTTGAATTCCCTAACGATATCCGAAATGGAATGACCCATGCGTCTAGCTCCAACTACCATTCCGCGTTCAAAGTCTGTTAAGAGTTTTTACATTAAGTGTTTTTACATAAGTGCTTTTCTATTTAATAAGTGCTCTTCTGTAGTAGACAGGTTCCAAATTTTAATAATATTTTTTTTTTTTCGAAAATGTGTGATAGAGGGGAAAAAAGGAATCTTTACTTAAGAATAATAACTAACATGTGTAATCAAGGTTTTTGCAAACCCAGTGTGTTTGTAGAAGATTTTTCCATTTTTGGTGAACAATCATGTAGTTTGGCATCTTTTATATAATAGGCAAAAATGGTCGATGGAATTTTCCGTAAGTACCGAAAATTGTTATATTTGTGCTCATAAATTAAATTTTTCTAAATTAAAATTTATATTAGAAACTGGTATGAATTTTAAAATTTTTTATTTTCAGTTCTTGCAACATGTAGTAAAATAAACAAATAAATTTTAAAATGTCTGAAAGGGTTTAGATTTTAACATTCACGCAGAAGGGCTGTTAATATGGTTTATCAGTAGGAATTATCAATAGAGATGGCCCAAGTGGTATGGAAAAACATAGTAATAGATGAATATGCATTTCGATGAACATGTGAACATTACATCTTCTGTATATTTGAAAAGTGAAAAAAATACATAACGTAATTCTATAAAAATATTAGTTTTAATTAGATGTATTATGAGTTAATGCATTTTTATTAAAATCAATTGTATGCAAAATTAAAAAATTAGTATTAAGAACCGCATCATTTTTTTGTAGCTTAGTTAATCAGTAGTATTAAATATGAAAGATAAATATCATATGTTTAGTCGTATGGCAATGCACTCAAAAGTGAAACACTGCAAAATTATGTTTCGAGAATGAGTCGTAAATAAATAAGCTGACGGATAATTTTCTAATTAACTGTAAATTTCTGTGGTTATGTAATTTATTACCATAATTTATTATTATTTAAATCCTTTATGTACTTTATTACCAGAAATAAGTTCACATCTGAACAATATTTATTGATAATTCTAATCAGAATTTAAATCTTCCTACCATCATCATTCAGTGTTTGATTAAAGTATAATTTTTCATGCTTTGTATCAATGTTGATTAAGTAGAAAAGAATTGTTTGCAAAATATGTGCTAGCCTGATTATTTTTGCAAGGCAATTGCCGTAATTTTTTTTAACTTGCAATAATACTCTTATGTTAACTATAGCTGCAGATAAATTGTATATGATCACAAATTTCTACATTTCACGAGATATTTTATACTTCTTTAAAATTTTGTTTTGTTTTATACAGTATAAAATCCGTAATCCGGACGTCCATTATCCAGAATGATCTATAATCCGGACCTTAAAGCCACAAACTTACGCATGCGTGTTCAATGTGCGCGTCCGCCATGCATGCGCGTAAAGCGTTTACCCATGTGCGCTTCCGATAGTGAAGAAAGTGACAGAGAGGTTATTGGAAATGATAAAATTTCGATTGACAATTTAATTGGTATTCTTGACACAGCAATTACAGGACTTGTACAGTGTAACTTTGTAACTGAAGAAGAAATTATGTCTGTTTATAGAATTAAAGAGAAAGTATTAGCACAAAAAACAAAGCAACTTAAACAACTTACATTGAAAGAAATGTTTAATAAAGTAAAATAACTATTAAGTTTTTTTTTTTTTTTTTTTTTTTTTTTAAATTTTGATACTCTTTAGATCAAAATTGCTCTTTATTTCATAAATTACGGTTTCATATTTTTAATTGTATAATTTCTGCATGCTATCTTACCAGATCTAAATTGATGATCGGGTTACGGACTTTGTACTATATGTGTATAAACAAAACATAAAGTAAATAAAAACTTTTATGTGATTTAAATTAAAATTTAAAGCTAGAAAATTTCAGCAGATTTTTCAAATTGTATATTCAGTTTAGGTTTTGAAAATGTATATTCTAATTATGGAAGTTGTATATTCTATTAACCTCTTCGTCGTCCGTAACGCGTCTAGCATGTTCAAGGGAAACTTTCGCAGGGCGGCCATAACGCACTATAAGCCTCATTCTACATTTAAAAACTTTTAAACGTTTAAAATGCTTTCTAAATGTTTACTTGTTTGAGTTTTATTTTTGTTTACTCTAATAGCACTAATCAGGTATTCTATTTCTAATTGAATTTGCCCCGGGTTTTATGAATATCCGTGCCATTTTATATAAGACACAAGACAGTGAGTGGCTAGATACGTTTGATGAGTATAGTCCATAATAACTCGATGATTAATGTTGGAACACTGAAAAGAACTGTAAAAAAAACAATAATTGTAAAAAATTACAACAACAAAATGGGAGGAGTGGACCGCATGGAACAGATGTTATCAAATTATACTGCAGTTAGAAAGAAGCAGAGATATTATTATTCCATTATGCTTTATTTCCTTATAATTTTACTTATTATTCATTGACATTCATCCACTACGAAAGTTCTGTATGGAAAGTTTTGATGTACAGAGAAAACAACATTACATGCTACGAAAAACAGACGGCCGCTGGGGAGAAATTTTTGCAGACAGGAGAGGACGACAAAAGGGTTAATACGTCTTTTTATATAATTGAATTAACAAAAATGTGTGTGAATAAATTGTAATTAAAAGAAAAATTCGTCTTCTGTTGTTAACTGCATACAAGTTTGTATCAGATGGTGAAATATGATGTTATTTTCTATTTTCTTTTTCTTTATACTATTACATTATAGCCTATATTTTTAGCGTTAGAAGTATTGAAGAAAATATGTGGTCTTTTCCTCAGTCTTATAATCAAAAAAATTTCTATTCATTGCCCTGATAACATGACACTTAATTAGGTTATTTTGCCTTTTTCTTTGCTAATTCTCTAGTTATTTATTAGCACTGCAACTGTAGCATTAATTTTCTCTCATTTTAGGATTAGGAATTTAAATTTGTTTCTATTTTTCCTTAAAACTTTATTCATATTGATTACGTAGTTATTGAACAGAACTATGTGGAGCATATTACATAAAAGGCAAAGCAACCAGCAGTTTGTTTTGTAAACGCATTTATTCAAGGTACAGTTCTATTAAAAGTTCTATTAAATGTAATGAGAAATAGAATTTATTTGTTGTTTTGAGGTCGCTGGTTAGACTGTAGACTAAAGACAACTTTACAACAACAACAACAATTTTATTTCGTGGACTGTATCATAACTAAAAATCTAAATCGAAAATGATAAATTCCCGACCATACGGGATCAAAACATGTATGCTACGCTAGGAGTTCGAATCTTAACTAATTAAAAATTGCGCAGAAATAATGCGCTGTACATAATTTTAAAGTTGCGCAGAAACAATGCGCTGTACAAAACTTATATTGCCGCATAGGAGGCAACATACTGCCCCACGTTGCAATATCTATGATATGCAAAATAAATCTAATTATACAATTCAATATCAATAACAATTCAGCTATTCATTTTTTTAAGCATTAACAAAAGATATAAAGTTAGTAAATCATTTACAGAATGAAATAATTCAGAAAATTCTATAAAGTTTGAACATTTGCAAATTTTTTCAATAATTATGGTAAGTATATCAACATTTCAAACAGTAAAAAATATTGGCATTTTTCATCAAAATTACCAAAATATAAGTATAATAAAGAACAATGTATATTTTATTAACAATAAAACTTAATCCTTGAAGTTATCCTCAATAGGCAATAAAC